TATATATATATATATATATATATATATATATATATATATATATATATATATATATATATATACACGTTTCTACCGCCTTCAAAGAAACGTCAGTTGCAACAGGTTGTTCGGAAAGAACCATTAACAAGCTCCGAAAGGAATCTGCCGAAGACATTTTGATGACACCAGGTAAAAAGAGAACTGATAGCAAGCCAACTGAAAATGCCAGTCAGTTCAGACAATCAATACGTAAAATCTGAAATTTGGCGAATAGTTCACGACTTCTTTTTAAAAATACACACCAACATTAAAATCAATTTTGAATGTTATCAATGCTAATACAAATTTGCTTAACTTATCAAGATCCATGTTGCATAATATCTTGAAGGATATCGGTTTTGTTTACGACAGAAGAGAAAATATGGCAGTGTTAATGGAAAGGTACATTATTTGCTGGAGACAAATATTAGAGACACATTAGAACATTTTGGAAAGAAGACAAAACTGTTATTTATGCTGAAGAGTCGTGGGGCACAATGTTCAAAAAGCTTGGCGAGATACTAAAACTAAAACACCTTGCTAAGCTTTTCTTGCCGGTTTCAGTGTTGGTCTCAAGTAACTGATGACCAGGGGACCTCGTTTCGCCTTGTTACATGCTGGAAGCACTGAGGGTACTTTGTTAGAGCAGAATTGGTAATGTTGGGCAAAAAACACGGCAGATTCTCACCATGAAATGGATGGAGAACTTTACGAACCATGGTTTGAGCAGACATTGCTATATAATGTACCGAAGGACTCCATAATAGTTATAGACAACGCTCCGTATCACTCCAGAAAATGCGAGGCTTTGCCAACGAGCATGTGGAGGAAAGAGTCAATCCAGATATGTCTACATGAAATAACATTGCTCATGAAGAGGGTCAATTAAAGCAAGATTTACTCTTCATTGACCAAAAAAAGAAACCAAAATATGAGAAATTTAAAATTGCGAAATTACAAAGGCAAGTGGATGTGATGTATTACGGCTACCTCCTTATCACTGTGAAGTTAACCCCCTTGAAATGGTATGGGCGCAGGTACAACATTAGATCAATGAAATGGAACCCCTTATACGTGAAGGTTTCAAACAGGTGTCACAGGAAATTGGCAAAACTACATTACACACGTAGTGAAAATTGAAAATGAGATGTGGAAAGCTGATGAATTATATGATGTAGAAGAATTTGTCATTCATGTATCAACATCGTTGTCTTTGTCAGCTGACTCCCCAGGTTTATCAGAAGAAGAGAACGAAAGTGAAACGTGAAGGAATAGAGGGAGTCTCATCGTTACAAAGTTAAAGTAATTTTGGTAAGTGAAATTTTGTATTACTTTGTGACAATTATTTTACTGAATCTATTATTAAATTTTATTTGAAAATGATTCAAATGTACATTAGAATTCGGCCATTCATCATAGGAACCCGTAAAGAATCTTACATTGTAAATGATAGTTTATTATATTGAATTAAGGAATACCGAATAAAAATTGTCAAAAACGTTTTGCAACTTGTATACTTCAATGATTAATTGTATTTGGATAATTCATGCACGTGCTCGACCTCGTCAGGACAGGCTTCCGCGCTTCGACAGGCAGAACATAATGAAAAATCTGAATACTAATTGTCCCAAAACAAGCCAAACTTTGCCAGCGTAAGCTTGGCAAAGCATTCGGGCGGCGGCGCGGCGGCAGTGCATCCACTAGCGTCCCTCCGTGAGTTGAAGCAGAATGCGAATGTGCAGGATCAGAATGCAGAAAACAAAATGTTGAATGTGTTGGATCAGAATTGAGAATGAACGAGCTAGCGTCGTTAGTTCATCTCGTAAGCTTGGCGGGTCGCGTGAACCTCCCCCGCTTAATTTCCCGCGATTGGCGGCCGGGCGCCCTATTGCGGCGTCGTTGGCGGACGCCCGCGTCTTGCCAAATTCTGCGAAACCCTAACGTCATCAGAGTTCCGAGAAAAGGGTTCGGCGGCGGTGCGTCGTTTGGAGAGGGCGGCGTCCGTACTTTCCCCTGAGTCACTGCGTGTGGCTTGGCGTGGCTTGCGCCGAAACAAACGGGTTGGATTCCACAATGTCTCAGGCGTCCCGAAAGCGCACGCAAGTAGAGGAAAACAGCACGTGTCCTAGCGTCTTTCTCAGCGGCGTTATATGCAACATAATTTTATAAAATATGCGTCGCCACATAGAAAACATTGAAAAAAAAAATATTTCCAATTCTTCATTGAGCCCATTGTAGATATTTTGAGTGCAAGAACTAGATGTATCCAATGCGTATTTATATAATTATTACCTATTTCTTCTAAAGCTAGTGCATTTAAAATTCGAGGAAATGTTCACATTTTTTCTCTTTTTCCATCTCACACACGTAAATGTGATACATTTTATGCAAAATAAGTAAAGTAATGAAAAATGTTTTTCTCAATTTTCTCGAAATTTGACTTTGGTTATTACGTTTCTTGCTCTCAGGTCTTCAATTGTCCATTGTTTTAAGTTCTGGTACTTGAAACAAGAAATGATGGAAAAAAGATAGGGAGGGGGGTAGGAAGGGCGGGAAGAACGGAAGAATGAAAGATAGAAAAGGGGAAGGGAGGGTAGGAAGGAAGAGAAGAAAGAAAAGAAGAAAGGAAGAAAAAGGAAAGAAAAAAGGAAAAGGGAAAAAAGGAAGAGAGAGAGAAGAAGAAAGAACGGAAGGAGGGGAGAAAGAAAGGAAAAAGAACGAAAGAAGGAAATAAAAAGAAAGACGAAGGAAAGAAGAAAGAAAGGGAGGAAGAAAGAAAGAAATAATGCAACAAACAAACAAAGAAGAATCGCTTAAAGAAATTACAAATAATATAATAAATTTTAAAAAAATTTAAAAAAATATAATGTATTTCTTGCATTATGGACTGGACTGTAGTGCCCGCCGCAATAAGAGAGTATTATATTCCTGCTCATGGTGGGAACCAGAGAGTATTGTACTCCTGCTGTCATCCTTTCAGCAGACTGAAAGCTCACGGCGTCGATTGTAGCACATCGTATTTTACAAGCTCTCTGATTTCCATTCCACCATGATTGTAACCTGGTGTGAGAAGCCGGTATTTGGACGTTGGCAATGTAACTGACAAATACTAGTTCAGCTACAATTATAATTATTTAAGTCATTGTACATTATTATATGGAACTAATGTAAATACGTTTCTAATATTTTATTAGAATCAATTATGTACAAAATATTAAAATCAGTAAGTCCTACCGGGAGGTACATAACCTGTTTGTATGATTCTTGCCGACACGCTGGTCACAGTAAATGGCAAAACATAAGACATATAAAAGCCGAGAAAGATGGCCAGAGAGCTGCCTTGTTCTCAAGACTGAGACGTAAAATGGAAATTGCTGTTCAAGGAAAGTATGCAGTAGTCTGAAGTGATAGTGTTCATTACTTCATTGCTTCAAATTTATCATAAAGCTAAACTCCATATACTCTTAGTATGCAGTAATCATTTGTGGAAATACCGAAGTAAAAATTGCATTTATATTGTTATTACAATAAGAAAATATTTAATCCAACTTGTATGAACACATGTATTTGTTGACAATAATAAAGGATAAGTGGTATACAATTGTATTATAATCTACACATTTTGAAGTTGATTGTAGAAATGATTATTGCAAAATTGTAAGTGCTCTTTTTCTTAAAAAGAGAATTGCCCTGAGAGTAATTCCATCCTTTGGAAATACACGTTTCCCTTTATAGATGACCATGTCTATCTGTCATCATGTTTTACAGAGCTGTCATAATAAATAACACATTATGGTTTTCAGAAGGAAAAAGTGCAGATCCCTCCTCAAACATCCAACTTGCTCAAGTAATAGAACAAGCTAAAAAGGCAAATATGGCAGTTTCCAGTATAAATGATTGGATAAAAACTCTTAAAGTAAGTGCAAAAGTGGTTTAATGTGAAGTAATGCTGTAAAATAACAAGGACTATTATGAAGTAATTATCAGTTGGGTTGTATATAATTAATTGTAATTTTTGCTTTTCTCCAAAAGAACAATCAAAATTCAAAGTTTCTGTCTATAAATGCTTGTATTTGTATGAAACATCGAAATAATATTTTACACTAATAAACTTTTTCAGTATTATCGTAATATACTTCTGAATAAAAAATAGATGTTCTCCAGAACTACCCAAAATGTGTTCTTTGTTATGTTGTTTCCATTTGTACTAATTATCATAAACTTGTTACTCCTTTTGCATTTTGTTTAATATACTTCTTAATACTTAGAATATTATATGTTATTACTAAAATTAAGATACGGTCAAATTCCCAAATTCATCATCATTGCGTAGTGACTAAATATTCTTGTTCATGCACACTTGGTTTATGAATTAGAATATCAGTACTGCCGAAAACTCAGACTAAAATATTTCTGCTCTGACAGAACCAAAAAAAAGCAATCCAGAAACTTCCTCTATTATGTAGCAAGTCCTTAAAGATTGGAATTAAATTGTATAACTATTTTTCTTTTTTCCAGGAAAGGGGTTCAGGTGCAAAGGGTGACATAAAAATTTATGAAGTGTCTGGTCCTGAAGGCAGTGCTTTTATTTTTTGTACATTCACAAGTAATCCCACGAAAACACAAATAGACATCAATACTGTTTTAAGGAAGGCCAAGTAAATAGAAATTAAGTAATAAATTTGAAAATTTAAACAGATAACACTATAGTCTCTGGAAATTTAAATTAAATGTGATTTTCAGAGCTTCGTTTTCAATGGGAAAAGTGTTGCATTTATTTGACTCTAAAAGTGTCATTCAAACAGACTTCCCTGCTAATACTAGCTTGGAAGATGCAGTTAATTTGGCCATTGAATTGGATTTTGATGATGTTTTTGAGTTGAGAGAGGAAGAGCAAAGTTTCCTTCAGGTATTATTTTCTTGATTCATTGAGAGAAATTATTATGCCCATTCTGTTTTTGTTTGTAATTGATAAAATCCTTTACAACTAGTTTTCAGGAGCACCATCACTGCTTAATAAGTTCAAGACACAATTGGCTAGTCGAAACTATGAAATTCAATCAGCTGAACTAATTTATACACCAGTGATTCAAGTCTTAATGTCGGACAAGAATTTAGAACATGTGAAATTTCTGTATAAGAAGTTCCAAGACTATCCTGAAATTGTGAATATTTTTGACAATGTCGCCTGGTCAGAAGACTCGTGAAAAACCATTTGCCAAAAGGATAGATTTAATGTTATGTTAGTTTTATATACTTGAAATTTACAAAAATTTTACTTGAAGTTTACTTGCAAAATTTACTGATCATTGTAATATGTAAATACTCTTGAAATTGCAAAATTGATGGATCATTGTAATATGTACATACACCTAAAAATTGCATAATTGATTGACTTAATATTGAAAATATTAATTTTGATTTTGTTAATTATATTATCTTAACTGCAAATGTAAGTTTTTGACTATATTAATAAAACAATCTGTGATATTGCTGAAATCTGTAAATAAAATGTTTTAATGTTTGAAGACTAAAATTCAAGTTTTTGTGAAATAAAAATGAAACTAGAAAGCAGTAGCCAACATTTTTGGAAGTTGAAAGTTGTCAGAAAGTCCAAACTACTTGTTTGGTCTGAAAAGAGATGTATTGCAGAAAATGCAATTATTATTACACATTGTAAAGATACAAGACTATATAATGTAAATAACTAGGCAACATCACGAGATAAAATGTTATTGCAGATTTTGGTTGCACTGTAAAAACCACTGGTACATTAGAATGTTAAATACAATATTAAAATTTTTTGTATTTTGTTCAGGTGAAACGAAAACTGTCTTATGTATCTACATCTCATAAAGTGCAGAAGAAAGTTTTCAATATGGATTACAATGTGACAGTAAAATATAAATAATTCTGAAAGATGCTTCTCAACACAAATTTATAAGACTAAATAAATGCTAGTATGTGACTATCCTTAGCTTGAGAACTTTTGAAATAGAAAATCCAGAAAATAGAAGAGTAGATAATTTCTGTATTCTTTGACTAAAACTTGTGTTCTTTCTGAAAAATTTTGAATTTAAGGACATGCATGGATTTATTTGAAATATGTTGACAAATGAGTAATTTGTTTTGTTTAATGATACTTCACATTAGCCTTTCTTTTACAATTTTTTGTAATGTTTGAAATTTGAGTTCATCTTGGTGGATGATGAAAATATATCATGAAGATATTTTTTTAGCATGCAGAATAATGCTTTTGTACTGCACAATCTGTTGTGATTCTATGAACATTCCAACATGCAGTAAGCTGACTTTTCCAGGTGATCCTAAAGATGCTCAGTAGGATTGAGTGTGAGAACTGAGCCATTTTAATTTTAATTCAACTGCAATCAACAAAGGTTTTTCTAATCTCTGGAACCAGTGTTGTAGGTATTGTCAACCTTTTGCCTCAGAAATGTGTACTTCTGATCAATTCTCATGATCCATGTTTACACAGGATGGGGCAAATTTTAATTTAGAGTAGTGGATCCAATGTGTGCTGGGGAAATAAAGCATGGCCTCTAGCTCCTTCCAGGTTTTATCTATTATGATTATAAATATTTCGTTAAGTCTTGCTATTAAAACTACGTAGGTTGGTACTTATTTACCTGGTCCTCCTCATAAATATATAACTGTTTCACCCAATCACACGTAGCAGCTGCATTTTTCCATATCAGATGGGGCTGTTTATTCTTTGTAAGCAACTACTTGCTCACTTACAGATCAATAGTGACAATATTCAGCGAATAGTGCATCATAATATTGTGTTTTATGGTCAACATCTTACAGTAATTTTAATCTGGCTTTTGCATAACTATTTTATGAACTCTTAAGAATCTTCCTTCTTATTTACATACATTTCTTTTTATCTTAAACTTTCCTCATTGCACTATTGTTGATGCACATTTGTTTTGCAGAAAGTATTGACAATTACTATTTGAATGCACAGTCATAGAAGCCTTATAATATATTGTACGATAATGAAAGTTTGTTACGATAACACTTTCCTACATTTTTCAGTATGTATATAAAGAGTAGAATTCTTTGTTAATGAAGATTTGAAAAACTGACCATATGATCAAGAGTATAATGGGGCAACCCATGATTATTCATAAGTATCAAATATCTTGTAGTTCATTTAGTTATATATTCACTGTATTAATAACTTCACCGAAGTTGGAAACATTCTTTGCGTTAAGGAAGTTACATAGATTTTATTATATAGATAGCTATGCATTGAACTGCTCAAGTATATAAAGATATTTTCTGAAAAGTAACCAGGCCTTCTAAATTACAATATTCCAGAATTGTAGATGCAAATTAGGAAAAATCTCTTGACGAACTAATTGATGAGTGAAATGAAGACTATTTTCATTAATGCTGCTGTCTGAATAAATTCTAAGAATACATTGGGGAAAGTCTTATTTTCAAATTTCTTTGATTTCAACATTTCAAAGAATGGAAATCATAAATAAGGCACCTGGCAGGCACAAATTATTTGTTCAAATGCTCAAGCAAGTAACATCACATCAAACTAGGGAGGTTGATGTGTAGAACCACCTCCCCCTATTGTCAATTCATATTGCTTTATATGAATGGGATGTCGAAATTTAAAAATTGCATTTTAATCTCACAGAAAGATATTCTGCTCAGCTGTGGGTGTAACTTGGGGTCAAAGTTTGGGGGTGGGGGGAGAAATGAATTGAAACGTTTGTTTCAAAGTTCACAGGTGGTGTTATTTTTACTATTATTATTTTACTTATTATTATTATTGCTTATTCCTCTCCTCCCCACTCATGCTCACCACAAAAGGCCAATGTATTCAGATCCCAGCATATCATTGTTCTACATATTTGAAATAAGTTTTCACTTGGGATGTTGCAAGTGCTTTGGGGCAACGCGTAATGGGAAATGGAATCACTTGAGCCAAACCATTGATGCCCACATATTGAAATATCGAACTCAGAAACCTGTCTATGGAACAGTGCTGCACTCACTTTCAAGACAGGAATCTGATGTGAGCTTTTTAAAAATGTTAGAAGTATTTTCTTGGAATAGAAAGGGAACCTCCTTCAAACTAGTCTTCATTGTTCAGTTCTTTTTTCTACACATTTGTATTTATTTCCACCTTTTGTAATTATTCAACAGTAATTCAAAAGTTATAAGAAATGTTTGACATTTTATATTAATAAATTTTACACGATTGTAAAAATTAAGTGAAGCTCAAATTTTGGAGGAGGAGGGGAGACTGCCCCCACTGAAGTTATGCCTATGTGCGTAGCAAATTAATACATTAGTTTATGTACTAGTGGACTCCAGCAGCAAAACTACTGCTTAATAGAATCACATAAAATGGGTTTCCAAAAAGGGCCATATACACTACTCAAGAGCAACAAATAAAGTACTCATGTATAACATTGCAATAAATCAAATATATTAACAAAAACAGTCTTCTTATTACAATAACATAGTATAGTAAATAAACAGTACAACCGATCTTTATGTACTAGGAATATAAAAAAAGTTGCTGTTCCATTATTCAACACATGAGTAGTATATATTTAATTGTGGGCAGCTTCTTCCTTGGATCCTTGCTGTTACATAACGTCTGCTTTGCCATAAGCATCAACACACTGAGTATGAGAATAGGAGGAATAACACCATCAAATATTGGCAATTTTCAGTCCAAATTGAAACTTTCATTAGTTTTGGATTTTTTGCAAGCCGTGTGCACCAAAACCTAACTAAACCATAGACTCCTCTCACACGGCCAGAGGCTACATTATTTGCTTTTAATTTCTGACTGCATGGAAAATTAGTAAAATAGTAATATATTTTAGACAGTTTTTATGTGAAAATAAGAGTGTAAATCTGTTGTGTTTATCGAGATCTTGTGAACAGCCTGTGCATCATAGAGAACACCAGAAGCTGTATTACATGAAAAAAATTATGTGTATTTGGTATACAGGTGCAAATGGAGTTGACTGAAATGTATGCCAGGCAACTTTTGTTGATGGAACATGTGCGTGGCAGCGAAGGGAATTTTTCCATTTTTAGGCCTCTTGTGAATAAAGTTTTGCATTAGTATGGTTGGAAGAGAAGCTTGTCTACACATCTGATGAAGTTTTCATTCTTTATTCTGAGATTTTAAATATGTATTATCTTTATTCTGAGACTTCTAATTAACTCTTCATGCATTTGTTAGTAATAATTAATTATCCTCTTTAATGCATGAGAATTACATGTGTGAATTTAGTAAAATTTATTCAGAGAAAAGTAGAAAACCTCACTCAAGTCAGTTATCAAAAATTTACTTAAGCCAAGATAATATAGAGTTCTGTTTGCTAATTTTGAATCTCGCTACTAAAATTTTTATTTCTTAATTTTTTGTTTTGTTTATTCAATCCATAATGAATTGGTAACTATATATTATTATATCTGTAATAATTGAAAGTTGATTTATCTCTACAGTGGCAAATGTTTGATGCTCATGACTATCTCTCTTTTGGAAAAAGTGGAAGGCATGAAAATATCTTGCATTATGGAACACACTGCAAAGGTTTTTGTGATTGTATGACACTAAGCAAATTGTATTTCACCTTGTGGTAAATCGTGACCTACATTATGTCTTGGGGCAGCAATGAGGGTCTCTTGGTAATATTTGAAGTCTCATTTTATCAATGATGCTTAAGTAGTTTCCTATAAACCCTTTTTTCTCGTTACTGAGAACTATTTACATTTTACGCATATTTATATATTACAATATATAGTGGCTATGAAAAGATTTTTGCACCCTGCCATTAAGAACGATTATAGTAAATCAGATGAACAAAGTTAGGCAAACTTAATTTGATTTAAAATTGTTATTTAATATTTATTACTAACACAAAAAAATGTAAAACTTCAGACAGCTTAATTTTTAATAAAAAACAAAATAAAAGTTATTTGTGTGACAAGTCCTTATACACTAATAGAGGACATTTTACACAATGTTTTGTTATTTCTAATTATTCTAGTTATCCAAAATAAACATGTCACACTTTCATGAGTTAAGAATTGCCATTACTCTTGATGTTCTCAAGCAAGGGCTGTTGGTACAGTGTTCCATTTTTAAATAATCACAGTGCATGGAAAGATCAAAAGGATGAAGAGGTACAAGTGGGAAAAAGCAGGGAAAGGGGACAATGGGTAAAAAATTGGCAAAGGGAAAGAAAGGGGGAAAATGGGGCAAGACGCTTAATGGGACAAACGGGACATACTTTTCCAAAGATAAATGAGCACTGGTAAAATCTAAACTCCAGAGTCCGCTAAAATATTTCTAATAGACTCGAGCATTGTAGCGGCCGTTGCAATGAACGAGCTATTAGTTTAGATTTCATTAAGAGAACAAATCCCTATCTTTAATATCTTACTTGTAGGAAGACTCCGAAAAAATTTTGAACATTTCCAATTTTTGAAAAACCAGGGTTTTCAACAAACATGAGACCTGCACCATTCTCTTAAACGTTTCATTATGTAACAAAAACCTAAAACGATGGACTTTTTTTTTTAAATTGAAAAATGCCCCAAGGGATTCATGTAAGGTACACCCCGAATTTAAAATATCGGTTTTAAATTCCAGGGGCCGTGACATCATCCAGATCGATTAGGGGATATCAAATTTGGAGAAAATCGGCTGAACGGTTTAGCCGCTAGCGTTGTTCACAGACGGACAGACGTGTTTTTTGTTGTCATCCGAGTTCTCAGTTTCAAGGACCCAAAAAACAGATTATGGCTACACCACGTGGATTTTTTCTAAATTAACAATTGGATTTTTCCACTTTCTCGTTTCCAGGATCCGGTAATAAAAGAGTTTTTCTGCCGAAAATAGCCGTTTTTTCGCGCAACATTCTCCCGCTCTCCAACATTCGCGCAACATTCACTTACTCCCAACTCCGTAAAAATATTTTCGGATAACTCTTTCTCTTTCTTACTCCTCTTGACAAGTGCTGCTGCGGCGACTTCCGCATATTGGATTGTGGCCGACGCAACCGGAAACAGTGATCGTGGGCGGCTGTGACATTTTGCGTAATTACAGTGTGCCCGAAACCAAATAAGGCAAGGATCGCTTACATGAGCCTGGATCTAAAAAGAATAAGAAAAGAGAAAAAAAACTTTTTTAAACACTATCTGTTCACATTTGTATCAAATTGAAAAATATAATACCCTAATCTTTCGTCGTTTAGTAGCTCTTAATTCAACGATTTTAGTAATATATATATA